CTCCCCGCCCAGGAGGGTGCCGCCGGCGCGGACGACTTGGGTGGCAGTGACCCTGCCCCCGCTCCCAGCCCTCGCCCTTGGCACAAGCTGGAGTCCCACTCACCACTTCTGTGTCCAGGCTGGTCTCTCCCATAGCCCAGGCTAGACCCTCCCTCCCGAACCGTGGCCCCAGCCAGGCACCCCCCCGGTGACCCTGGCGTGGGCCCCCTTCCTCCCCCGGTCTAGGGCTAGGTCTGCTTTCCCCCGTCTCTCCCGCCCAGGCTAGGCCGTCGTTTCTCCCTGCCATGGCCCAGGCTAGGCCGCTGCCTCCCTCCCTCCCTTGCCTTCTCCATGGCCTCAGGTTGGACCCCCGTCAACCCTTCCTGCAGCGGTCTAGATTTGCTTCCCTTCTTCTCCGTGGCCTCAGCCTGAATCTCCTCATCCCTCTGTGATCTTAAATCTGGACCTCCTCTCCTCCGCCCATGGCCCCGCCTGGACCTCACTGCCCCCTCCCCACCGTGATCCCCTTCCCTGGACTTCTCGCCACTCCTAGCGTAACCTGCGTCAGCCCCGCTTGGTCTCCGCCCTGACCCTCTCACCAGGGTCCTGTCCCCTGCCCCGTGCACGACCCAGGGTACCCTTCCCTGTACCTGGGGCGCGCCTTCTTTGCAGCCTTCGGGAAGCGAGGGGAACTCTCCAGCAGGGATGGGGTGGTCCCGGTGCTGTGCCTTCTCAGTTGCCCCTTCTAGGGAGGCCGCTTGGGAGCCAGCGAGGGAAGGACGGGCATCGGTGTGCCCAGAAGGCAGCGCGCTGCGCTGCGGGCCGTTCTCGAGGTCGCCGCTGTGGGTGTTGTGCTTGCGAAGCGTCCTGCAGGGCGGGCCGGGGTCCGCGGCGCCCAGGCCTGAGTGGGAGCTGAGGGCTGAGGGTGGGTGGCCCACAGGACAAGGATGAACGCACAATCGCCCTTGTGAGGCCATGGCCTTGGGGGGCCAGCAGGCCCAGGATCCAGCATATGGCCTGGACACCATGCACCCGAGCAGGCGCAGCCTCCCCTTCCCTCTGAACTGTCAGCTTGTAAGGGTTGGAACTGCTGATTATGGAAGTCCCTCGGATCAGGTGAGCAGAACTCCGAGGGAGAGTGCTGGCTCCACTCGTAGTGTTTGATTTGGTAAAGAAGGCAGATGCTAAGAAGGCAGATGCTATCCAGACTTTTGAGGAACCTGGGGTTTCACATAGGCCCCCACAGATAGACCTGCACTCCTGCCTCTTGACCATTCCGCAGGACAGGCCCAGCACTTAGGTTGGAAGGGCCAGAGAACTTCCTGACAGGGTCAAGGGATTTTTGGAGCATATTTGTATGTGGGCTTTGGGCCTCAAAGTGTTTTGAGGACCCTGGTTCCTTGTTTAGTCAAGGGATGTTGCTGCTGAACGAGGGTGAGGAGTTGAGATGAGTTAAGCTTTCTTTTGATACCTTCCTGTATGCTGATTAAAAACAGGGGCAATGCCACTTTTAAGGCCTTCGGATTTCTCCAGTAACGTTAGCTGAAAACTCCTTGTTTGGGGAGGCCTTATTTTGACCCCAGGTCTGGGTGGAGTACAACTTCTCCAGGGCAGTGTTGGGTGAGGACTTTGAAAGTGGGCTGAAGTTTCGTGAGTGTACTGAGTGTGCACTGAAGACAAAGTATGCGGCAGGAAGCGGTGATGCTCCCCAGGTGATGGGAAAGTGCCCCAGTGCCCCAGGAGGAGCACATGACACCTGAAGCTTCTCAGGAGTCTTGCACTCAGCTGTCATCTGAAAAGACTGGAAAGGGTGGAGGAACTGTCTGTCTGCCAGTCACTGTGGTGTGCTTCACCTGTACAAGCTGGTTTCATCCACACGAAACCCTTCTGGGGCTGTCCGCATTTGATAGATGAAGCAGCTGAGGCTCAGGAGGTGGAGTGACTTATTCAAGGTGTTGCCCAGCCAGTGGAGGAACCACCGTTGGTCAGTGGAAGCCCATCTGGCAGCCTCTAAACTGTTATTCCCATTGTACCAAGCTGCTTATATGTCAGGAGGTTTAATGATACTGTTTGAAAAACATAGAATGGGATATTCAAACATGGCAAGGGGGGAGGAGCAGTATTTATTGCCCATGGTTTGTATTTTAAATCCTTTGTATAGAAAATCATGTTATAGCGAAAGAGCTGTATGGTGGTACAGGCGTATTTAGCATGGGCCAGAATGAGCTCTTGGAGGGCAGAGATTTTTGTCTTGTGTATTCCACAGCTGTATCCGTGGGGCCTAGAACAGCACCTGGCATTGGAAGAAACCACTTGGAATGTTCTCTTTGGGATGTGTCTGTGTCCATGAACTTGCCTGCTTGGATTTCATATTCATTCTCTCAGTCACTTGTTCTTAGTATCCCTCAGGCTTGTAATTTCTGACTGCTTATTGTTAGGTTTATCCCCTATTTGAATACTCTGACCATTAAGCCAGTGTAGATGGTTGGGTAGGACAGAAGTGGTGGTGTGAGGTTGCATTGAAGGGAAATGAAATCAGATCACCGTGTTTTTCATTTTCAGTAGATTCGATGGTAGAGAATACAGCTAGATCTCTGTTACCCATTGAGGGAAATAGTGGCTTGAGAATCTAAAAAGCATTTGACTTTGGAGTGAATGCCATGATTTTTGTTGGCATGAGTTTCTCCTTCTCAGTTAAAATGCATAGGCAGATGGAATTTATTTGCATTCCCTTAGCAGGTAATAATCTTACCACTGCTTGAGTGCTGTACAATTTCAGAGCACCGTTCCTTACGCAGCTCCAGCTTCTGACTTGGGAATTATTCTTAGTTATGATGATGGTGAGGGTTTTAGCAGGAAGGTGGACTAGGGAGGCCCCTTCAGGAATCGCTGCTCCAGCTCACAGATGGTTTTGCCTGGCAGGAGCTGATGGGAACTTGGTATTGTTACAAGGTGAAACAACATAGTTGACATTAATGTCTCTTGGTGTGGATAAGATACATTGTTCAACTCACATCCCTCTTGTCTGTCTATGCAGCCCTGTTCATTGAGCCCACCTGGCCTCTTTTTGGCGGCATGCTTATAAAAAGTAGCCAGTGATCAATGGCTTGAGATTAAGGAAATGATAAGCCATGCCTTTGAAAGCAGATACTCCTATTTATAACCCCGACGTCCTATACTTTTACATTCCATTCCATGAGTCGGGGAACAGGACATATGACTGACCACAGGGAAATGGTGGCAGGGCAGGTGCCTCACCCATTAGAAGCCTGCCCTCAAGGCTGGGAAAGGCTTATTGTTAGGCAAATACTGAGGCACGTTGTGGGGTACCTGAAGCTACAGGGTAATGTTAATCAGCTTTTTGTGTATCAAGTGCCTGCTCTGTGCTGTTTATGTGTGGAGGATGCAAGACAGACAAGGATCTCTGCCCTCACGGCTCACATTGTTGAGGGGTGAGCATGTCACTGTTACCTAAAGTTTAAGGGGGAAAGAGCCTTGTTCAGTGTAACAGCAGGCACAGCTGCTTGAGCTATGGCAGGAAACTGAAGAGAAAGTTGGGGCTTGTGCCAGGCTCCACTCCAAGGCCTTTTGGGGTGTGCCTGCTCTTGTGTCTGCCATTGGCTGGAATTGAATTGCACGTGCACGCAGTCCGTTGGCTCCTTTGCACAGCCAAGGCTTTCTGGGGTCCCAAAATGAAACCTTACAGTACCGTGGAAGTCCAGCCTCTCCAGTCTGGGTAGCTTTGTCCAGCATGTCCAACCTGGGTCGCTGAGGGACCTGACCCAGAAACATGACTTAGGTTGTAGCCCAGCCCCCGTTTTACTCACAAGAGTGAGAGCTTGAGTGACCGGTGTGAGCAGCAGGCCTGGGATTCGGATCCACGTCAGCCTGACTCACTGTGTTGGACCCCGCTCACTGTGTTTTCCAGAAGCAGTGAGCAGAGGGTCCCATAAATACAGGATCTTGTCCCATTTCCCCTTGTAGCAGATCCACCAGTGAGGGTGCAGTGTGGAATTCCAGGGGGTGCAACTGCAAGATCACCCATAATGGGACCAGCTAGAGCCATGCCATTTCCAGACCTAGGCTTTCAGAGATTCACGTCTCAGTGGAAGGAAGGGGAGGCTTAATGGTTATGGAGCATCAGCCATGTGCTATGCACTCTGTTAAAACTGTCCTCACCACAGCCTGACAAGGTAGGTTCAACTTTAGGCTGGAGGCATAGTACAAGAAAATAGAGTTAGGAGCCAGACTGCCTTAGGATAACGGTACCTCTGCATAAGGTTGTAATGAGGATTAAGTAGTATCTGTCAAGTGCATCCAGTAGCATCTGGCACATGATGTTATAAACATTAACTATCGTTATTATCACCATTTTCCAAAAGTGTGCAAAGGGGTTTATGGTGAGTCCCTGTCTAGCTACTACGTGGAGGAATTGGGTTTTCTGACCCCAGAGCAAACCATTTTTCTCCACTCCGGACTGCCTGCTGATGGCTGCTTTGGAGTTTACCTGGCTCTGGGCTGTGCCTTGAATGGATAACTTCCCTAATAGAGCCTGGGGCTGTTTTCTCCACTGAAGACAAGCTGGCTGTGAGCGGGGCACCATGTGTTGCCAGAGCCCCATGCTATACGTCAGGCCCGAATGCCTTGTCTGTGCCAGTGGAACCCCCTGTGACTGGAGGGTTCTTGCCCTATTCCAGGCTTGGAAGAAGAGAGACAGGGCTGGGGACAGAGCGTATGAGCTCTGTGAGAGCAGGGACCTTGTCTGTTTGCTTCCCTCTGGGTACCCTACACCTTGCACTGGCCACCTGGCACTTAGTGAACACCAGCTACATAAACGCTGAGTGAGAGCTGAGAGGCGGCTGGCTGCTCCACAGAACATGGTGTCTGCAGTTGGGCACATCTGGAGTTGAGTCCTGTCTGCCACTCAGCATGTGACTGTCAGTGAGGCTGCTAATTCCCTCGGTCTCTGTTTTCCTGGTCCGTAGCATGAAGATAACATTTTATAGGGATGGGGGGTAGGGGTGAAATTTGTAATGTACTTACTCCAGTGCTTGGCACACAGTAGCTATGGTTGTTGCTTGTCTTATTCTGCATACCACAGAGTAAGGGACACAAATAGAAGCCATCGTCCCTGTCCTCTAATCCAGGATGGGGAGGCAGGATGTGTCCAAAAAGCCAGGTGCAGCAGGAAGGAAGTAGTACTAGAAAAGACTTAACCAGGGACCCATGGGTGCTGCGGTCTGCCCATCCCTGCGGGCCTGGCTTGCATTTCCCCCTCCTCCATGCAGCCCTGCAGACCACTCCAGCCCATGGTCGGCTTGGGGGCTGGGTAAGGAAGCCCAGGAAGAGCGTGCTCAGGCAGAGAGAATGGGGTGGGGTATGGTCAAGGGGACTGGCACAAAAACTGAGGTCAGGGGGTATGGTCGGACAAGGAGTAGATGCAAGCCCGTGGGGTGCCTCAGTCTCAGGAGTGAGTTGTAGAGTGCCTGAGTTGCTAAGCTAAGGAGTTTGCATTTGATCTGGGACAGTGTGGAGCCAGGGAAATTTTTGACAGGGCAGGTAGAAATTTGAGGAGGCTGGCAGAGCAGTGGTATTTTAGGAAGAGTGCTCTGGCTGTGCGTGCAGTAGGCCTGGGGAGGTGAAAGAGACGTGAGAGAGGCCTTCACAAGCATCAGCCTGTGAGCTTATGAGGGTCCTGGCCACTGTGCAGCTGTGGGCGTGGAAAGGAAGGGATGGTGGAAGGAGATAAAGGCAGAGGGAGACGGAATGATTTACCACCTCTGGGGCTGAGGGGGTCTACCCCAGAGCTGTCTCATGTAGGCGTTCTGATTGGACAGTTTATCATTGATACACAGCTATTTCAGGTCAGTTTAAATCCTGGATAGTGGTGTCTGCAAAGCCTTGAGATCCTATTAACAACTGAATGGGGATTTCAGTCTGGTTAGCCCAGTGATCCATCCAGCCAGCGACTCCGTGACTGCAGGTGGCACCAAGTTCAGCCTGATGCACACAGCGTTGGGTTCTGGTGCCTAAGACATCAGTCTGCTGAGGGAGATGGTGGGGTGGTGGGCTCTGTGTGGCAGCTGTAGGAATAACAGGAGCTAGTTTTTTTTTGT